TTTTTTTTTTTTTTTTTTTTGGTACCAGGGAGGATTGAACTCAGGCCCTTGCACTTGTGAGGTAGGTGCTGGAACCACTGAGCTAAATCCCAGCCCTACAAATTCTTAATTACAATTTATATTATAAGTATTAATGTCAATATTATTTATACTTAGTTATACATTACTATTATTATTTTATTATTCAGTATGTCCATTATGTTGGAACGTACAGAACTAGATGCATCCATATGGCTGATAATCTTAATTAGGGCTTATTTTGGGGGGTAGGGCTTTTATTACAAGCATCCTAAAAAGTCATGCTAGGGCTTAGTTTCCAGCTAGATCTCATTTTTAGGAAAATACAGTAGTGAGTTCAAGGGCAGCCTGAGCTACATAGTAAGACCCTGTCTCAAAAAACAAAAAAAGGCCCTGAGACCAAAAGATATAAAAGACTTCTTAAAACAAAAAAAAAAAAGATAACTCAATTGAAAAAATAAACATGTAAAAGAGGAGCAAGTACTTCACACATACAAGATGGTCTAGCATAGCACATGTGGTCCAGACAAATCACAGTGAGTGCTGAGCGGTGACAAGGAGCCAGAGCTGGCAGAGCCCTCAGCACTGTGGGCTGGAACAAGGGTAAATCTACAGCCATTGTGGAAAAGATTCTCACCCTGACTGCTCATGATAGGTACATACCATGTAACAATCCAAAAATCTCATTCACAGTTGCACGTCTTAAGAAAAGTGAGTCCTGTGTCTACCTAAGGACCGCACAAGAAACAGATGGCTGAAAATGGAACCATGCATGCCCCTCCACAGGCAAAGAGACACAACTGTATATAGTCACATCATGAACACTAAACAGTAATAACCTGACGCACTTCAAGTGCATTCTGGGAGGGCCCAAATCCAGAAAAACTACTTGAATGCTGGAGCCATACACACTCAAATTGCAATGCTCGGTATTTACCTACACAGATGTTTATAGCAGCTTTTAAAAAACTGCTAAGAGTTAGATGCATCCAAGACATTGTTCAGTAAATGAATGATAAATAAACCATGCAGGCTGGTATGCAGCTCAGCATAGTGTTTGCTTAGCATACACAAGTCCTAGGCTTGAGCACCAACACCAAAAAAAAAAAAAAGGAAAGGGAAAAAAAAAGTAACTGATCCATCTCAAGACAACAGAATATTATTGCACAAAAAAAAAAAAAAAAAAAGCTATTAAACTATGGAGAAATGTAGCAGAAATTTGAATGCCTATTCCCAACTAGAAGAAGCCAGTCTGATAAGGTCGCACACTGTGACACCAGCCTCTGGGACATCCTGGGAGACTGTGTAGAGCAGTGGCGTGCAGGGCACAGGATGGAGGGACAAACAGATAAACCAAAATGGCAGGCCCTGACACGACTGCATGTGATACCACAGTGGTGGACACGTGGCAGTGCATACTTGCTCACACCCACAGCAGACAGAGTGACCCTGACGTACATGGTGGGCTCAAGCAGTGCCGATGGATGTCAGTATGGGCTCATTCATGGTTAGATGCCACACTGTGAAAGGCAGCCATGGGGTGTGGACAAGTGCACCATACTGCCACATCAACGTGCTACAAACTTCTTGTTTTTACACTCATCTTGACAGAGACCCAGGAGCATTTATAGATATGGCAGGGGCCAGGGACTTCCCTCTGAGTGGCTCCCACAGGGTCTGCAGGATGCCCAGGACAGCTCTGATGGTGGGGGAAGGGACAAATGAGCAGTTCCTCCCAGAAGCACACTAGTGCTTGGCTTGGAAGGTGGCAGGATGTGGTAGGCCACAAGGTAAAGCCAGGGCTGGGTGGGTGTGTGCTATAGGACCAGAAGCAGCAGCTGAGGTCTTGTGTGCTCTCGCCCTTTATCCCCACCTTATGGGCCCCACCCCAAGGTCAAAGGCCTTCACAGTTGGTAGTACCATTCTGCAGGGTCTGTGCTCTTGACTCTTTTCCCAGGTTCACGTGGAAGCCACTGCCCAAGGTTGGGGTCTTGCCAGGACCTGGAAACACAGAAGAGACAGTTATCCAGAGCCTAGCAGAGAAGACCCATATATAGCCCTCTCATAGCACACAGAACAAAACAGGACCCATTCAGAACAAAACAGGGCCCAGCACGTATTCAGGGAAGATTGGCAAGCTGGATAGAAAGCCCCTCTGCTCTGCCTAACCCTGAGCATGAACCATGCCTAAATGCAAGTTCCTACTATGCTTCTAACACACTAAGAATCCTAGTGGGCCGCTGACACCCAGCTTCAGAATGACAACACAGCGCTGCCTCCCACCACAGCTGCAGCAAGGTAGCCTCACAGGATGGGTCAACAGGAGGGGCTGGCCTCTCTTGTTTCTCCCCACATCGCTTTGCCAGCCTCAGGCCGGCCAGCCATGAACATCACACCTGCATGGGGACTCCCTCCTCCACACGGGCTCCTAGAGGGGAGGAACCACAGCTAGCCAGTCTGCAGGAAGTTCCCAAGGCTCTACCCACTTTTGCACCACCTCGTGAAGAAGGCTGCAGGCTGTGAGAACTTCCATGTATGGTGTAGTCTCAGATAAGCCAACAGGCACTCTGTTTGAAATTCTCCCAAAACAGTAATCCTGGGATAGCCCACTACTCTTTTCCATGCAGGCCTCCAGGGCTAGGACTTGACCCTTGAAAACGTCAGGTATACATGTGGATCACTTATCAAGATGTGAGCCACACTGGCTAGCCTGCTGTAAAGGAGCCTCACCTCTCAGTGGAGCCAGCACCAAATACAAGGACCCAACCTTTTCTGGTACAGCTCAGAGCCTGGACAGGTACCAGTGCCTGGAATGTGGTTCTTGCCGCAAAAAAATCACCTTCAAGAAGGTGGCACAGGACCCAGCAGCACACTTTCATGGGGGTTGGAGCAAGTAAGGCAGAGGGAGCCACACAAGGGAGCCCAGGAAAGAGGCTAGAGGCAGCCAAGCCCAGAAAGGCTGCTCTAGCTGTGCATCCTGGTTGGTCATGACCAGGAACACGGGGGATACAAACAGCAGTATACTAATGCTGGTTTCTGCAGAGGCCAGAACAGAACATCTCCTGTTCTTCTTTGTTTTGTGCATGGTGGTTGTTTTAAACTCTACAATTTGTAGCTCGAAATCTTTTAGCTAAAGAAAACTCATTGGAGCAGGGTGTGGTGGTGCACACCTGCAATCTCAGCACTTGGGAGGCTGAGGCAGGAGGATCGCTGTGAGTTCAAGACCAGCCTAGACTACACAATGAGTTCCAGATCAGTCTCAACTACATAGTGAGACCCTGTCTCAAACCCCAACCCCCAAAAAAGAAAGCTCACTGAAGACTACATACTTTGTAGTTGCTGGACAAGAAAAACCACATCTCAGCATAGCTGTTTCCAACACATGCTCCCCTCCAATTATTTTTGGGGGCTGTGTGTTTGTTTGTGCTCAAATAAACTTTAATTATACAAATTATTATTTCTGCTAAATCTAGTCATTTTCTTTCTCCCTTAGGGGTATCCAGCTTCATCATCATCATAGAAGGTAGAATAAGACAGAACCACAGCATCAGACAGCCCAAATTCATATTTCACACACAAAATCACTTACTCCACCAGATTTTTCCCCACCCATAAAAAATACTTCAGGTTAAGTGTATTCCTGTGCCAAGGGGAGAGAGGGTTTGGATCTGAACAGACCCAAAAATGGATTATGCAAAACCTCAAGCCTTCCTTTAGAAGTCTCAACTGTGGCAGAAATTAAGATAGTAACTTCTCAGAAATAAAGCTTCTTGCACTAATCCCCTAGATGCCCCCTACTGTCTCTTCCCTTTGGTCACAGTTGTAACTGGTATGAAATGGCTAGGTGTCAGAGGTGTACAGATGAAGTTGGTGGACTCAGGATGAGGGTTCCTGCAGCCATGTAGGCTGAGGGTCTATGCACTGAGGTACCAGGCAAGGTGAACTCTCCTTACTCAGGCCCACTGAGACAGTAAAGCACTGAGGGAACCAGAGCCCATACTCTATTGGAGTAATGGAGAAAAGTCCAAGTCACTGGCTGTGTCCATCTCCCCAACACCAGGCTACCCTGCCAGGAGCTGTTCTGGCTATACCTGCTCTAGGAGTCACCTCCTGACTTTCACTTCCCCACCACACACACACAATAGAAAACACACATGGATGGTATAAAAAGCACTTATGCAATCTGCTCACTAAGATTTAGGGTCACAGTGCAATGGTTAATCTTGACTGTCGACTTGAATGGACTAAGGGATGCCTAACAGATTAATAAAGTACACTTTGGGCTTTATCTGTGGGGTGTTTCCAGAGATGACTAGCATGTAGGCCAGCAAGCTGAGGAGGAGAGCCTCGCTGACTGTAGGTGGCACTGTCCAGTAAGAAGCTTGCAGCCAGATAGATCAAAGAGGAAGTCAGGCTGCTTAAAGGCTTCATCCCACTCCAACAGGTATCATGCTGCAGCTATGGCCTGTGGACATCAGACTCCAGCTTCTTCAACCTTTCAACGGACTCACATCAGTGACTCTTCCAGGAAGCTTCCAGGCTTCAAACTCAGGCTGGTGCTGAGGCTTCCGACTTCTGGGACTGAGTGGTTTCTAGATACCTTGGCTCTGCTGGGTGCAGATGGCCAGCGTAGGCTATTCTTGCCTGTGATGCTATAAGCCTATCTAACAAATCCCCTTTCATAATTTGTTAAACGTTTTTCTATTGATTCTGTTCCTCTAGCAAACCCTAACCAATACATGTGGGCTCCCCAAAGAAAGAAAGAAGCAAGTCCAAGTGTGATCTCTGGCTGAAACTGCCATTTTTGAATGTTTGCTCTTCAGATGTGCTCTGCTTCCAAACATTCTTGGTACTTTTTGTAACAATGCAGGCTGTGAAGTACCATGTAGACAGGCCTGGCTAAGTCCATCCTCTCCTAAACAATGGGATAGATCTACAGGTCCAGGCTTCACAGAGAAGACTCTTTTGGGGAGTAACAGGTGGTGAGGGCTGTGCCCTGCACTGCAGAGGCATGTCATGGGCCAGCTACTCTTCAGTGCAGACAAGTCCTACACCCAGGACCAGAACAAAACAAGGGACCAAGGAGCCTCTGCCTAGGAAAGATCCATGCACAGCACCATCCTCCACTCCTCTCAGTGCTTCCAACTTGGAAACAACTACTGTATTTATTTGTTTGTTTATTTACTTATTTATTTATTTATTTGGTACTGGGGATTGAACTCAGGTCCTTATACCTGTGAGTCAGGTGGCAGAACCACTGAGCCAAATCCCCAGCCCTACAACTTTTTAAACCATGGATTCACGGGCCAGGGATTTAGCTCAGTGGCACTGCATCTCCTCTCAAGGACAAGGTCCTGAGTTCGATCCCTGGTATCAAAAAATAAATAAACCTTGGATTCATTTAACTTGACCAGGGGGTTTCTGTGGACACTGTGACATTGCTTTTAAGGGGACACACTTGTGCATATACCAACATGAAGTGACAAGTTCAGTTTTTATGATATGTAATTACCCAAAGATTCGAATAGTTCTGCAGTTGTGGTGTAGGTTAGCAACAAAAGTGTCCAAGATACATCCTCATGTACAAACTCCTAAAAACACATCACACAAAAACAGACATCATTGCCAACATCAATAGATTCATCAGTCTGGATTGTGTACCTAATAACTGTCTCAATATCTTCTGCTATTTCAGCAATGCATCTAGTTATGGTGTTAGCTAAAAAAGGAACACAAGTCACCTTTTGAATTGCATCCTCTCCTAAAAGACCGTGACAAATGTCCTTGGCAGCAGGCAGAATCAACTCTTCACCATCAATAGTAAAAGGTGACTTAGCTTTAGCAATGCAGCTAGCCAGTAAGGATGATGCTCTCTAACTGGGCATGGTTCACACACCAGTAATCTAAGCACTCAGGAGGCTGGGTGGAAGGATTGTCCAGTCTACATAGTAAATTTGACTAGCCTGAATTACACAGTAAGGTTTGGTAGTACACACCTGTGATCCTAACATTTAGGAGGCTGAGGCACTAAGATCACTGTGAGTTCAAGGCCAACCTGAACTATACAGCAAACTACACAACAACCCTATCTCAAAAAAAAAAAAATTGCTTCTGTTCTTTGTGTTCACATTGTTTTTTGTTTTTAAAAAAACTCCAAAGGCTTGTCTTTTAAGGCAGTGGGCATGGTCTCTGTGTGGCAAAGCAGTTTTGAAGGTTTATGGCTGTCACTGCGTATTATACAACTGTGCTTAGAGAATGTGAATCACCTACTGCAATAATTTAAGGAGGAGTCTTGATTATTTCAAATGCAGCTTTCTTTCTGCTGAGACTTAGTATTTTGCTGTCTCATCACTGGGTCTTTTCCTCCTTTCAAAGAAGCTCTCCAGTGATGCTTGTTTTCACTCATTCTGGGCAGGGTTAGCTGTGGGCTTACCAAAACTGTGAGTGAGACTGTGCAGTGCACGAAAGAGGTGCCGACAAAAGTGGGAAATAAAGTAACTGGTGGGCCACAAACAGACCATATAAGGGTCTGCTTCTGACTTAAAGCCACCACTAAATGCAGCTTAATTACCTCTTCCCACTGAGTCTGCAAGCAACTGATTTATTATGGTCTCTGTGCAGTCAAACCTCTCTGCTAAAGTTCATTCGTATTTGCAGCGGCTCCCCAGCAGTAGCATCACTGCTCAGTTCCACCTCAAACCCTTAGATTCTCCTAAGGAGCATACAACCTGGCTCCTTCACATGTGCAGCTCACAGTAGGGTTGCAGACCTATAAAAATCTAAAGCCACTGCTGATTTGACAGGACATGGAACTCAGGAAGTCATGTGATGATGGGGAGTGACTGTAAATACAGATGAAGCCTCACTGCCTCATCTACCACCCACCTGCTGTGTGGCCTAGTTCCTAAGAGGCCACTGTTGCTACTGGTCCATGGCCTGGGGATTGGGAACCTTTGACTTAAAGAGCTGAGACTGTAGTCATTAAAGCTTCTGATTATAGGGCTAAAGGTGTAGCTCAATAGTAGAGCAATTGCCTAGCATGTTCAATTCTGGGTTCCAGTATGGCAAAAAGAAAAAGTAATTTTTTTGATGATAGTAACCACAAGAAATGCTCCTAACCCTACCAGAAGGTTTGCTGCTCCCAGCATGGGGAGAGGCACCCTAAAGAGGCAGCCACCACTGGCTGCCTGGAGTGCAAGTTCCCAAGCATCCTCGGGAGTGACACTGACCGCTCCCAGGAAAGCAGAAGATGAATATGTGTCACCACCCACTGACAGAGTATGTCTCAGGGGGCTTCAAGACACTGGAGTGTGCCACTGTGTAGAAGCCCTGCTTTGCCCCACAAATCCTTACATGCAGGGGTGAGCCCAGACACCTGTGGAGGGGTTTAGCCTTCCTCCTACCTAGCCTAAGCTTGGCCTCCCCACATTCAGCTACTCTAAGCCTGCAGTCCTTGTTGCTTACCAGTTCCTTCCACACAGGCTCTGCTCAGAAAGACCCCAGGCACTGGAGCACGTGTGGCAGTTCCCACAGCCAGGACACTCTGCTGTGGGCCACTTGTCACCCTATCCTCACATCTGAGTTAATTATGCCCGAGCAGACTGCTAAGCAAAGTGTCCAGCCCAGTTATCACTAAGCAAGAACACTTAGGAAAAACAAGTGGTCTTTACAAACTGGAAAATGGCCATTCAATGAGAATGAGCCATTTTCAGGGTGAAGCTGAAGGAGGGTGAACTGAACAAGGGCACTGTAGACTTCTTGGAGTGCAAGAAACAGTCACCACTGCAATTACACTGATGAGGAAAAGGGGAGCCAGGTAGGCACCTGGGAAACAGGAGTTACCATGATATCTCCTACACAGGCACAACCCCCACCACCTCCATCCGCTAGAATGCAAACCCACAGCCCCACAGCACCAGTGCTAGGCTGCCTCTCCCTTGAAAGGTATCTTGGTGCCACATTAGAGCCTGTCTGAGCTTCTGCTCAACTCTCCAGAGATTAATCACTTTGTGTGGGCAGCAGCTCACCTCCACCTGCTCTGTACCATCTTCCCTTATACCCAAGGGACATGGTAAGAGCAATGCTCTGTTACCAGGCTCTGGGACGCACCTAACACAGTCCCTTCCCACAGAGACCTGTGTCTGAACTGTTTTTATTACTGTGTTATCACCCCAACAGGCATCACTGTCTTGGCAATTTTGATAAGGAAAAGCAATGTGCCACAGAGCTACGGTCTCAGCAGTCCTGATGACAACCATGAAGAAAAAGGACTGGTATAGTCATGTAAAGGTACAAGATCACAACAATGAATGTAACTGTACTGTATACCTAAAATGTACCAATAAACTCAATAAGAGAAAAAGAAAAAGGATTGGTACAATGTGTTACACAGACCAAAGGGAAAGAAGAGCAGGAGGGAAAACTCAAACCCAATGCCAGTCCTTTAAAAAGATCAACAAAACTGATAAACTTCTATTAAGAGATACAAAGAGAAAGAAAAACACCAAACTGCGACATCAGAAAGGAAAAAGGGTTGTTACTACAGACCCTGCATGCATTCAAGGACACAGGAATGCCACCAACAATTCTATCTGCATAAATTCAACAACCAGATCAAATAGATCAGTTCCTCAAAGTCAACTACCAAAACCAGAATACAACTATAACCTTACTGTCAAAGCTTAGAAATGAACATGCCAGGGTGGGTGTGGTGGCACATATCTGCAATCCCCGCACTCAGGAAGCTCAGGCAGCCTGTTCGAAGACAGCCTGGGCTTCACAATGAGTTCAAGGTTAGTCAGAAAATAGAAGACTAAGGACCATTAACTTGGCCTCAAAAGCAAATAAGAATGTTAAAGAAAACTACAGATATTATCTTGCATGAACACAGGCAAAAATTATCAAGAAGTATTAGTAAACTTAATCTACAACAGCAAGATACAAAAATAAGCCCTGGAACCAAGTGAGTTTACTACAGAAACTTGAGATGGGTTCAGCATTAAACATCAGCAGCACTAGGGCTGGCACATGGCTCTGTGGAAAAATATTTAAAGCATGCTCAAGGCACTAGGTTTGAGCCTAAGCAGTGCAGAAAGAAAAAAGAACATAAAGAAAATTAACCATACTGACAGGCTGAAGAAAAAAAAAATTGATTCTATCAGTTGATGCAGAAAAAGCATCTGACAAAATTCAACACCACTTGTGACAAAAACTCAGCAAACTAGGAATAGAAAGGGAAATCCTGGGCCTGGGATTTAGCTCAGTGGTTCCACTGCCTGCCTCACAAGCGCAAGGTCCCAAGTTCGATCCCTGGTACCAAATTAAAAAAAAGAAAAAGAAAGGGAAATCCTCAACTTTACTGATAGAGTGACTACAGGTACCAGGAGCCCACAGGTAACATTCCACTGAATGGAAGAGACTGAATGCTGCCCTCTAAGATGGAGAATGAGAATGTGGGAAAAAGGTCTCTTCTGAGGTGAAAATGAGAAATAAAACAAAGATAAAACAGTCTGTATTTCTAGACAACACGACTGTCTACAGTGTCTACAGATCCCAAGCAGTCTATTATAGGAACTCCTAGAGGGGCTGGGGATGTAGCTCAGTGGCACAGCACCTGCCTGGCAAGCTCGAGCTCCTACGTTTAACAGAAAGAGCAAAAGAAAAAAAAAAAAGGGAAGGAAAGAAAGGAAAACAGCTCCAGACTGTAAGTAATGTAAGAAATGCACAGGAGCTTCAAAACCACAACACACTGATGGATATTTTGAAGAAAACCTAAATTATTGGAATATTGTGTTCACATACTGGAAGAATCAGCATAATAAAATCACTCTAAATTTTAAAAGACGTGTTTGTTTGGAGACTTGATCTCACTACATAGTTCTGGCCTTGTACTCACTTTGTAGCTCAGAGTGGACTCAAACTCTTAGGGATCTTCCTGCCTCAGCCTCCCAAGTGCTAGGATTATAGGTGTGTGCTACCATGCCCAGCTTGTCAAGAGATTTTATGCAACTCCATTAGTAGAGAAATATTTGTAACTATACACAAATTTACTCTAAAGTTAAAGGAAAAGGAAAAATGACTAAAAAGCTACAATAATTTTCAAGAGGAGGAACAAAACTGGAGGACTCACAATATGACTTCGAGACAATATAAAACAACAATAAACAAGAAGTGCAATAGTGCCAACAGAAATGGTATAGAACAGAAGGGCCAAGAAAGAGATCCATCCAGTTCCGTCCCCCTCCACCCAGTGCTCTCTGCCAAAGGAGCAAGGGCAATTAAGGACAGGCTTTCAACGAACAGCACTGAATACAACATCCACACTCAGAGGACAAACCTCAGCTTCCAAGACGCTAACTCCACACGGCACATAGATCTAAATGTCAACAGAAGGGGCAAGGCCCTAGGCCCCAAAATATAAAAACAACCAAATAAAACTAAGTGTAAAACATAAACAATAAACTTTTAGAAAACACATGTAGGAATGGGGCTGGGGATTTGGCTCAGTGGTTTCACTGGCTCGAGTTCGATTAAAAAAAAAGAAAACACATGTGGCAACTTAGGGTTAGACAAAGAAGTCTAGATATGACAACAAAAAAAGAAAAGTGAATAAATTGGAGTTGCCTTCGGACCATGTACAGCACGCGGGCTTGCGAAAGTAAAGTAAAAAGAACCCTCCGCACTCCACAGCGGGCAACGAGGATTCCGGAGGGCCGCAGACAGCGCGCAGGTGAGGTGGCCTCCAGCTCCACCTGCCAGGGGACCAAGGGACCAGGAGGGCCAGGTAGGATCAGAGAAGACCAGAAGGGCCGGGGGTACTGCAGGGGACCACAGGGGACCAGGAGAGGACCAAAGAAACGTGACTCAGGGGGGACTAAGTGGGACGGGTGGGGCCAGAGAGACCGGGAGGACTCGCGCCCGCCCACCAGGCCCTCGCGTGCTGACCCACCGTCCAGCGACACGAACTGGCCCACGGCCGACGAGCCGCCACCGCTGTTCTCCACGAACTGCACCTCGGACACGATGATGTTGTCCTCCAGCACCGAGCCGCAGGCCGTGCACACCCCATCGCCGCCGGC